CTGACTCATAGCAACCCCTCCTTGGGTTTCCGAGGCAGTATCACTACAGAAGTAGATTGCCCAACCTTCCTTCTGAGGAGTGGCTGGTGGATTTGAACCCCCAGCCTTCTGGTTAGCAGTCAAGTGCCTTAGGCACTGCACCACTCAAGCTCCCACAGGTTTAGAGCAGTACCACTGTACTCTGATATGGGAGCCCTGGTGGTGCAATGGTTAAGCACTCAGCTGCCAAGTGAAAGGTCAGCGGCTTGAACCCACCCAACAACTTTGCAGGAGAAGAGATCTGGTGATCTGCTCCCACAATAAAGATTACAGCCTGTCTCAAAGGTTTTCAAACTTTTGAGGTATCAGAAACACACAGAGGGCTTGTTAAAACACCCCGTGACTGGGCCCACCTCCAAGGTGTCTGATTCAGTGGAGCTGGGCCTGGGCTGAGAAGTTGCTTTGCTAGCAAGTTCACAGGTGGGCCGGCCGCTGCGAAGGAGCCCCAGGGCACAGTGGTTAAGCGCTGGGCTGCTAAGTGAAAGGTCAGTGGTTTGAACCCACCAGTGGCTCTGTGGGAGAGAAGACCTGGCAATTTGCTCCCATAGAGCTCACAGCCTAGGAAGTCCTTTGGGGCAGCTCTGCTCTCTCCTATCTGGTCCCTGTGGGCCCCATTAACATACAGAGGAACCTTCTATTTGCAAGCAGGGTCACATTCAGGGGTACAGGGGTTAGGACTTCTTCAGCATGACTTTAGGGGGGAACACGATTCATTCCATCCATAACTGGTGCAGGCCAGAGAAGGGTGGGGCCGGAAGCCTGGAGGCTGGGCATGCTGCGGTCAGTGCCCTGGGCTAACACAAACACCATCCTCTGGGCTTCCCTGGTGCCAAGCTCGCATGGGCACAAATGTTGGTGGCAGTGAACTGAAATGTCCGGAGTGGTGGATCCCACGGAGCTGGAAGGACAAGACAGGGCCCTGGGGAATCCAGGTATAGATTTTGGCAAAGGAGCAGATATTTCAGGGGCCTTTCCTGGATCTGCGGATATACATGTCCTACCTTGCCTGGCTCCAAAACTGTTCCAGAAGCAAAGGGACCATGTCCAAGGACATGCCTGCTGGGAGATTCCAGAGACAGTCGAGACCTGAACCATCCAGTATGGTAGCCACCAGCCACATGTAGCTGTTAGATTCACACTGATCAGAATTAAATTGTCCAAGCCACATTGCAAGCTCTCAAAGGCCACACGTAAGTAGAGGCTCCTGAATTGGGCAGCACAGACGCAGAACCTGTCTGTCCCTGACGGAAGTTGTATTATAGGCTGGTGCTGGCTTGGACACTCAGGCAGGAGGTGAAGGCGGGGAGTGGCAGAGCTCCTTCATCCAGGCAGAAGTGAGGTGGGGCCCAGAAGACCCTTCAGACAGTGCACATAGGGTCTGGCTGAGCTGCTGGTGCTGGCTGCAGCAGTTTGTTGTCATGAAGGGTCAGCGGCCTGGGGGACAGCTCTCCGACTCTGCAGAGGGCAGCAGGCGGGACTCTGCCTTGCACCCCTTCCCACAGGTGGCTCTCCTACCTGCTGCTGTTCCTCCTGGACGTGGTCATCTGCCTTATCGCCTGCCTGGGGCTGGCCAAGCGTTCCAGGTGTCTGCTGGCCACGTGAGTACCCTGCCCCTGGGCCTTCTGGGAAAATGTTAGAGAGGGACAGAAAGGGGAGGGGCTGGCGAGGCCCAGAGGGTGGGGGCCAGGACAGCCAGGCAGTCAGAGCTCAGTCAGAGCTGCCTCCTGTCGTCTGCTCAGCCTCCAGCAAGGAGAGACAGCAGCCACAGCTTGCCATCTGGAGACCAAGAGGTCAGCAGGGACCAAACTGATCTGCACACACACACGCACACTACACACGTACATGTACGCACACACACACTGTGCTAACTCTGTTGAGCAGCTGAAGAAATGTGGCCCAAGCGTTAGAACATCTCGCCTTTCTCACCTGCTCTCTCCCTTCTTCTCAGCTCCCACCCTCCCAGCTGTGTCCCCTGTAGCCCGGGGGCAAATACTCCAGGCATTGGATTCTTTATGACTCTTCTAGCAGTTGACAGAGTTAACAGTGAAGGCAAGGACCCAGGGTGCCTCTGGAACCCTGTAGGAGGGCAGGATTGGGGCTGGGGGAAGGGCATACTTTCCCTCAAGCTCCACCGGCCTGGGCAGTCCGTGAGCTGACAGCCGTCCAGACGGTCCCCTGCCCACTAACTGCACTGCGAGTCCATCAGCCTGCCTCTCTCCTAGGATGCTGTGCTGTGGGGTGTTGACCCTGCTCCTCAGCTGGGCTTCGCTGGCTGCAGATGTCGCCGCTGCTGTGGTGAGTTGGGGGCGTGTGGCTGCGGGTGGCAGGCGGTCAGCCAGAGGGTCTGTCTGATAGTATGTCCCTGTAGGACACTGTGTGAAAACTCCACAGTGTTCACAAGTTGTTTCCTGTGCTAGGGGAAAAAAGACCCCAGATTCAAATATATTCCATGGAGATCCTTTTATGAAGCCTTAAACAGGACAAAGACAAGACAAACCTAATCATCAGGATGAGTGTGCACAGCACAGAGGCAGAGGGAGCCCACCAACTCCCAGTCTGGGAGGTCATTATATGATGGAGAACAGAGGAAGTCATCGCGAGATGATGATTGGTGGCAGGTCAATCCATCACTGTCAGAGGCGGGACTACAGACGCTGGGAAAGAACCCTGATTGGGCTAAGTACATAATCGTAGGTTAAAAGAGGTTAGGGATTGGTCCTGAGGTTTCTACGTGAGAGTCAGGGTATGACTCATGATCGTGTAGCCCTGAGTCAGTCACCAGGACCCCAACTTTTAGCTTAAAATTGGTAACATGTGGCTGTTTTTGGTAGATCACTAAGGACATGCCCAGGCAGGTACCCTGATTCTCTGTGTCAGCCTGAGAACAAAGTGCCTCTCTCTGGGCTTGCCCTGGACTCAGCTAAGCACAGCCTCATTGCTGCTTTAAGGGCCAGCAAGCCTGGGGAAGTAGCAAAGGACTCGGTGGTGTCCGAGCTCACGTCAAGATGCAGAATGGAGCTAGGGCTCCCACTACAGACAGCAGCCTTCCATAGAACAAGTGCTTCAGAACTTAAGCTCCCACGTACCCCAATTTCTAAACAGCCAGGAGACCATCAGAAAAAGGGGACCGGTCACTAAATGTGATTGCTCATCGTGTCCTTCCGCTCAGAGCCTGACACACTAGAAGCTCCCTGGGTATTAGTGCTTTTGTGGCTCACAAGAGAGGCAGACACA